CCTCCTAGTGCTTTGATTTTTCATCTGCCAGTTAGAAACCTACCAAAGATATTATTGTTGTAGAAATAATCAGAAAAAAACAATCTGGTATATGCTTTCATTCTTTACTTTTATTTTTATTATATACTCACCAAAGGTAAACATGGTTTACTTTTTACCAGATGTTTTGTGTTTCGTGCCTGTTATTGAATTAAGCCATGCTGTACTGCAAGAATTTGCTAAAAAATGTAAATATCCTTCATATTGGGCACTTGCAGTTACCAAAAAGTTTTTTTTGCACCTTTCATTCCCTAGAGAAATATTTCTTGTATTGCTTGTATTACGATAGGTTTTAATGTCCTATAAATAGTACCATATATTTCAAAAAGTATATATCCTTATATTTAACTAAGGGCTGTTCTGAATTAACTGGATTTCAGACCACGGCAGATTTCACAATTATAAAATATTTAAAAATACATTAGGGAAGTATATCTCTATTTTCTTGAGATATACAGTACCTAGAAAAATAATAATAAGCAGTACAATTGACTCAGTCCTAAAGAAATCATATAATAAGTCATATATATACTTAATGAATGTGACATTTTTACATAAAAACAAGCAATATTTCTGCTCTTAGCGAAAAATGTATTACAGTGCAATTTTTTTTATTGCAGTGGTAATTACTGTGTATATGCATTGGCCAACTTTTTTTCTCGTAAGAATATCTTATGTTCTTCATTAAAGATAATATGAGTGTAAAAGCAAGATTATTTGTGTTCAATTTTAAGTTACAGCAAAAAATGTGGCACAGTCATGTATTACTACTGATACTTTGATTTGAGTTAGTTGGAGTGGGCAACACACAAAATGTACATATTTAATACAACTGAAATTAAGAACTGAAAATAGTGCATTCATGTTACTAGTGAAAGTGAACGTTTATACAAATGTTTATACAGATGGGAAAACACAATGAACAATGAATCAGACAATGACACTACTTGAAATATCATAAAAGTAACAGTTTGACAGTCCTGAAACCAAGTGATAGGATGTTTCTACTGTAAATGATTACCATTGTACTTCAAAGCCGTCCAGCTTTTCCAGAAAGGCCTGCAATGATCAGTTCATTTTCTTCAAGAAGTAGAACAAAATCTGTAATCATCATTTCAGCATCCCATTTTGTAAACATGCATTTTATAGGTCATCCCTGAAGCTTTATTTCCTCAAATGACACCACTGCCCTGAGGCTGAAAGTGAACATTAAAAAAAAAAGCATTTATCCTAAGGAGCATAGAAAAATGAATTTAGTTTTTTTTTATAATTGGCATGTCTGGAAATATCAAAGTCCCTGTATAGAAATCTCAACCTGAGTTATATGTACTCTGACAAATACAATAAACAACCAATGACATTTTGTATTAATACAGTGAAACACTTCAGCAGTGTCTTATAGTGCAGTGAATTCAACCAAACCAGAAGGCACTCATGAACAGAGAGAAAACCCATTTTAAAGGGTCTGGACAAAGAACAGCCTTAAAGGTACATGTATCTTCAAGACAGCAGGAACTATGTTTTTAATATAGTTAAATGAAGTGACCAAATTACAATAATAATTGGTTAATAAAACAACAATGTGGATATTAGAAATATGGCCTGACCAGGCTTACAGTTAGGCAGTTAAGCACAAAGGATAGCACTCTTATCATGCCATATATGCATATACATGTTCATAAAATAAATACTGACAACTGAAAGGCCATTTCCATGCCCATCCCCTTACCACTTCTCACACACTTCTCACAGTTTTTCAGTCATAATTCAGTCATCAACATTTTTTAAACCAAATTTGTGTATTTTAACACAACAATTATAATAATATGTTGCAGCATATAGAAGTTAATAATACCGTGTAGACACTATGTTTATTGTGGGGTCTGTGCGCAAGCTGGAGACTTAGCAGAGTCCTGTGCAGTTGTCCTATGCAGCATTTCTCAAGTGTGTTCTCCAAAGGGAAGACTTGCAAACTGAGACACAAAAATGCTAATGACCTGGAGAATGTAATAGCCATTACAGTTATTGACAGACTTGCATCTACAGTATATGACTTATAATGCATTCTTAAAGGGAAATGGCTAGTATATGAAATGAATATTTCACTGAGAATTTCACTGAAAAGTTTTCACATAGTTGCATTAAAAATATTTTATAATCTTCAGTTCAAAGAGAAGGTCTGTAAAATAGAAACTATGTATGTATATTTAGTGTGTATATACAGTATATTAAGTAAATAAACTTGAAAATCTGACTAAGCAAAAACAAAGTTCTACATTAACAGTATTAGCATAGAAGAGCCAGGTATTAGAAACACTTAAAATCTCCAGAGTTTGATGGTGATCTACCAGTTGTGTATTTAGCAAAAGGATGTTATTCATAGGCTATTACAACTCTAAAGACAGGTTTAACACCTACTGTAAAATTGCTAAAGTAGCAACCATCTATAAAAGAGACACAAAACCAAGCCCTTTAATTACACACTAATTATAACATGAAAGGTTACGGAAGCAATACTTTGAACTACGTTAAAAGATCCTCTGTGTAGCAGCAGGACTTTAGGGCATAGTCAAAATGAATTTAGAAAAGACAGGTCTTTTCTTAATTAAACGCTGTTCTTTGAACAAGCCGACAACAGGATTACATTCGAACGGAGCATGTGATACGGCATATTAAGATTTTCATAATTTTTTCTCTATAAATTTTCATTGTAATAGATCAATTTCTAAGTAGCAATCAGTAGGCATCCCAGATGAATCTATAGAGAACTTAGTAATAGAAAGGAAACAGTATAGATAAGAAGTAAATACTCAAAATGGGGTGTAATAAATGGAGTGCAACATTTTCTGGATCAAGACCAGTGCTCTTCAAAACAATCTTGATTATATAGTTAGTAACCTAATCAATTTTTGCAGCTATTAAAATATGAGAATGAGCAAATATTGTAGAAGCTTGCAAACAAAATCCAACAGGACCTGGACAGAATTGAACACCTGACAGATTACATTTACTGTACACAAGAATTACATGCAAATAGTCAAAACAAACTATGGATTTAAGGTGGGAAGATTAAGATTTTCTGAAATTAGTGCAACTAAAAACAACCGCAAAACTTCACTGACATAAAGAAATGTCCTATGGTGACAAGCTGTAAGAACTAAATTAAGTCTTGAACAGAAAAGACTATGAAGGGATGTCAAGGGTCCCGTCAAAGGTGATCAATTGTTTTCTGGTGAAACACAAACCACAGGATACAAGTGTGCATTTACAGATGAAACCAGAAGGCATTTCTTACAAAAAACTGTTAATGTATGTAAAACAACTCTCCAGCCATGTCAAAGCTGACTTCTTCCAAGAAGTGGCTGATTGATGTGCTTCTTGGATCACTTATCTACCCAAATCTGAGGAGCTAGGTGGTCCTCCTCTACTTTGTAACCTTATGGTGTGTTTGCAAATCATACATTTCAAGTTTTCATATAGTAACATTACAAATATTTTTTCAACTTCAGTTCAAAGGGAAGGGTTGTAAAACAGGAATATATATTTAGTTATACTCTTCTTTCTTTTTCAATTCCTTCAAAATGAAATTTAGCCAACACAGCTCACAGAGGTTAAAGTAATTCAGCTGTTGGGGTGAATTTTTCATTTCCTTTTCAGCTTTTTATTGTTGCCTTCCAGTTGCTGGTTTCTTTCCACCAGTAGCTGACTGATGTTTATGCAGGCCCCTAAAATATAATAAATTCAGTTATCACACAGAGCGTGATCTGATATGTAACACATGCACATGAAGTAATAGAAAACACAGTATAACATATTCATTTTAAATACAATAAAAATATTGTACCAGAACAATAAGTACCATAATATGTGCATTAAAGAGCACTAAAAGAGCATTCAAATGCACAGTTCTAGAATTGCAACAGTTGTAGACAAAGTATAACATCCACTGAAGCAAGCTATTTTATTACATTTCTTCTACAGCATCTATATTAAGATATCTCAATTAAGCCATGACCTCAGTAAGTCATGACTTTTTAATACAAGGCCACTGAGTACCTACTGTACTGTATGTGCCCAATGAGATGCCCGCCACTTAATGTCAATTAAATTAATTAAACATTTTATTTTTTTTAAAGAAACTTGAGACTGTAAGGTGCCAGAAAGTCCTAGTATATTTAATATCGTCATATTTCACAAGATCCAAAAATTCCCTAGGTTTCCCTGTAATTGTCTTTTCAACAGCTGCTGTCAAAATGTAATCATATTCTGCCAAAATACACAATGGTGTACACATAATGAAAACAGGTTACAAGTAATGGCATTCTTGGAAGTCCAATCACAGTTCTAGTTCATTTTTCATATTTTTAATAGTATTTTATATGTTGAAAAAATTCCCTAGGTTTTGATGTGACAGTTGCTGTTTCTCCAGCAACTGTTCTCTAAATGTAAACCTATTCTGCCAAAATACATCCTGTATGGTGGACCTTAACAGGTTACAAGTAATGGCATTCCTGTAGTTAGAATAAAAAAATCTTAGAAGCAATTATTGTCACAATGATTAATGTTAAAAATGTGATAGTCTTATTATATTGCATTCTAAACTAATCGTAAATACAGAGTATACTTACCAACAGCAAGTACTGGCATGTAGATCTGTAGCACATAAGGAAAATGGATGTATATTGGTGCTGGTAGTGTCACATTAAATGAAAATGTTCCCAGGGTTTCAAAGAATGGTAAGGATTGATAAACAGTGATCACTATTCAAAATAAAAAAAGCAAAAAACAAAAATGTATAAATTATGATTTTATCCAGTTAATAAAATGTATACAGTATGTAAACGATTTATATAATATAAATATAGCAGCTGAAAAACATATTCCCATCCTTCGCATGTTGTCTCATTTTGTTAAATTGCAAAAAACAATGGAACAAGTAATTCCATACAAAGAACAAACATCATTTGGCTGTGCAGCCTTCTTCATGTGTTTCTTTTTGTTCCTTTGCTGCCAGCACAGCTCCATGTTTGATGTTCTACAAATATAATCTTTCAATTTTTCAACTTCATCCCTTGGTTTAAAAGCCCTTTGGCCTTCATGGTTGAATCCCTATTTGAAATTCACATGAAGCACTATTATTGCACGCTGACAGAAGCCATTCAACTTATGGTGTGGTTCCCGCCGTCATTTCCTGAATTAAAAAAGCAACTTTAAATGTTTGCATCCCTCCTCAACCTCATCTCCACCTTTGCAGCCGTAAAGCCCACAAAGCTCTCACTCTACATGAGGCTCCTAGTATCCCTTTCCTACAGCCAGTAGGCAAGTTATCAGAAAAGCAGGGTTAATACAAATCTTACTGTGACACTCATTGAACATGTTTTATTATATTCTTGGGTGTTGTTATTCTTTCTGAACAGCTAAATGAATATAAATTTTCAGCTTTTCCTAACACTAGCTTCCCTCATACATTGCATATACATATACATGCTTTAATAATTGTTCCAGCATATGATTATAATTGCAAATAATACTCAAAGCTGAGACCACAGGCATGCACGAAACAACTTCAAGGTAGCAAGAGTTAAAAAGAAAAGTGCAGATGTCAAACATGCTTGATGTTTATGCTTGAGGCTATTTGTAAGAAAGATTTACTGCTTTATATTGACAAATCATTTTCACCTTCCAGGCAATGTACTGTAGGGAGGCAATCAAAAGGCAATTATAATGCTGTTATGTTATATAGTTGTGTAAGTGTACAATTTAAATTAAGAGCTGTTATTTTAAAATTGTGCAATACCCTAATAAGAACAAATTTTTAATTATTTATTTTTTCATTTTAGACACCACATTACAAAATCAATATTGCTGCCCTGTAGTCAGTTTAAATAAGAGCAACCAGGTACATTCCTGGCCTTAAAGGAATGTCCTAGTCTAATCAACTAAACAATGAAAATTATGATCTGATTCAAGTACTTAATGTCCAAAGGCACTACCAAACAGGTGAAATAAGTACCAGAAGGTAAAAGAGCTGTGGTAGTCAGAAACAAGCTGCTCAGATGTTATTAAAACTGATATGGGAGAACCCTGGCTTCTTTTAAAATTGCTGGCTGAGATCCTTAGATCAGTTGGCTAATAAACTAATAAATGGGTCAAATGGTCTCTTTTCATTTGTAACTGTTATATTTCAAACTTCCATAAACTAATTTCTGATTTAAATTAAATATCTTACCATATTCATTAACAAAAAGTCTATACACCTCTATGTAAGTTTTAGAAAAAAAGTACATGGATTTTACATTTTTATTATATTTATGGTTGAACTGTTACATAAGCACTACATTGCCTTATTGGTGAGTAAGTAAGTGATGAGATGATAAAGCTTGTTCAACATCAAGCCTACTTGAACATCACAAAAAACAGAAAGGACTCAACGTGCCCTGCTAATCAAGAGAGAAATGCCTTTGGTATGTTGGAGGTTGTACTAAATCATGTAGACTTGACAGTAATTGAGCCAAGCTCTTGCTAGTGATGACTCAAGGTTTTGTGTATCCCACACAGGTTAACGTCGGGAAGGCTGGCACTGACATGTGGGATAGTGTGCTACAACTAGATAGTTGTCTACAACAGACCGATCAATGGGAAGGTCTGGACAGCTCCACTTGTGATGAATGATAACATTTTTATTGTCCCCTGAGGGAAATTTTTTATGGACACCCAGCACTCCTGTACATTTAAATAGAATAGAATGCAAAAAAGAGAGAAGAAAAACATTGCATATTTTACCATTGCAAAAAATAATAAAAACATTGCACATCATTCCATTGCACATGTACGGTATAACACATAACAACATGTAACATTTATAACACATCACAAAAACATATTGCACTCAAGTGGGTTATAAGAGACAAAATTGTGTTTATCCTTGACATTTGCGTTGACAGCTTTAATGGATAGTGGAACTAAGGAATTTTTGTATCTGTTTGACTTACATTTGGGAACCCTAAAACGTTTGCCAGAAGGAAGAAGTTGATATTCAGAGTTGAGGATGTGGGAAGGATCTGATATAATTTTTCTTGCCTGTTTGATTAGGGATTTTTCAAAGATTGTCTGCAGGGAGGGGTGCTGTTTCACTCTCATGACTTTCAAAGCTGTCTGGATGAGGCGGGTAATTTGTGATTTAAAATGAACTGATAGATTACCAAACCACACTGAAATACCATACCTGATAATGCTCTCGATTACAGCACGGTAGAAGAGTAGCATTACTTCCTGTCGAACCCCAAACACTCTTAGTCTTCGCAAGAAATATAAGCGCTGCTGAACTTTGGAGCAAACTCTCTCAATATGAGTAGACCAGCACAGGTTACGGTCTACAGTATGTGTACACCTAAGTATATGAGTCAACCTGAGTGATACGTTTGTCGTGGATTACTACCTGTGAGTGATCACCAACTGTTCTGGGATCGTAAACTATTTTGTTTTATTATCAATCAAAATTAGGCTATTGTTGTCACACCATTGCACAAATCTGTGGATTTCTGACATGTACACAGATGAGCTTCTACCTCTATGCATTAAGCCAAGAACAGCTGTATCATCTGAGAATTTGAAAATGAAGTTGCTTTGACTACTGCTTGTACAATCATTTGTAGCACTGAGGCTAATAGATCGTGACTCAGAAAGAGTTTTGTTGACCCTGACATACTGTGTGCGGTTTGTTAAAAGTGAATGGTACCATCTTATAATGTTATGATTAACGGACATTTGCTTCAGCTTACTCATCAATAGATGGGGCTGAAGCGTATTAAATGCAGAGCTGAAGTCCACAAACAGCATCCGAGCATCGACATTGGGGTCTTCTAGGTGTTTTAGAATAAGATGCATAATGCTGTTAATTGTATCATCGGTACCCCGCTGGTGTTTATACGGTACGCAAACTGATATGGATCCAGTACAGTGTTCACTTCTGAGCACAGCACGGATTCCTTGATCCTCTCAAAGTATGGCAACCTGACTGCATGTCACTACATTGATTAAGTCTCTAGACCTCTCTTAATGCCTTTCTGTGGACTGAGTCTCACATGACAACATTCTAGCTGCACAACCTCGTGTTGCCTGTGCAATTTAGGCTTTCTTGCACAACGAGACTGACAATTTAACTGTGAAATATCTACTCGTCAGACCTGGGGTTAGAGATTAGTGAACAGGCACATTCTTATCAAGGCAATACTTATCACATACAGTATGTATTGCTTACAAGAGTGGCTACATACTTCTAACCTGTGACATCCTCCTGCTGATGATGTTAATCATAAGAAATGGTACATAATAAATGTTCTTTTACCATGCCTATTTAATCAAATGTGGTGCACAAACTACAAAATGTTTTGTTTAATGTGCTACATGGAAAACCTATTTTCCTGATAACTTTGAATTTGTGATTAATTTATGTTGATACTGAGTATATTATTGAATAGAACAACCAGCGAGGATGTTTTACGAAGTAAACTGTGTGTGACAGATAACCCCAAGTGAAATGTTTTTTCTATTTGTCTTCCTAAGAATATGAAATGTGGAAGAAAGAGATATTTGCTAGTACTGTGGAGATTGCTGACAGAACTGGCAGGCCTTCAAACCAAAAGAGCCACAGACTTCCTGCATTTCAGATGGATCTCTAGCCTTTTCAATGTAACACTTAATTTTGTAAACAGACATACAGTATAGCGTGCCTTGCAAAATTATTCACCTCCTGCCAACATCACATTTTGATTAATTAAAAGTAGGGTATATAATTAATTGAAATCTTATAATCAAACCGAACAGCATTATCTGTGGAAGATGTTAAATGTTAACAAAATCTGCAAAGAGGAAATCTACATTTCATTTTAAGGACTAAAATATTCAGGCCCCTAAGTCATGTGGGAGACATCTGGGAATTGAGGCTCAGCATTCTAATACAAAACTCATTCAACAGATTACTGTTTTTGGAATTCCAGCAGGCTTCCAAGCTTTATTTTGTAATGCATTATAACTAAATACATTTGGAGACTGCTCAGAAATAGCTTAAAATATTCATACAAAATAATAATAAGCTTTAGAGAAGAATGCTATTACCACCTCTGTTTTACGACATTTTACAAACTGCTACTACTCCTTAAATACTCCCTTACCTTTCCCTTAACCAGTCTAAAACGCCACAACAAGACAGCCTTTTAGAAATAAACCACTGTAATTAACCCATTTCAAAATGCACCTTTCAGACTGTAATGCAGTTAGTGACTAATATACAACTGGTATTACTAATACACACCTGGTGACATGCAGAATACAAATGTCATTTAGACTGAATTTGTCGTTCCTAATGGGAGGCCCATGGTTATTACAGTCCTTCCATGAGATAACTTGCCACAGTCAGTGCATGGTGGTTGAACCAACTATCAGTATTTTTACTGTAGATACTATAGGTCTACCAGCTTTGCACAGTGGGATGGTATAGTTTGGACTCTGGGTGAACCAGCCACTCAAGGACACTCGTTCACTCTAGTCAAAACACATTAGTTTGACTTTAGCCTTGTGCTTCAGGTACATCCTTCCAATGTGTGTGTGTTTTGTGAGCTTTACTTCTTGAGTGATTCAAGCAGGTTATCCTCTTGGATTCACCTGTACTTTGCACCATGATGTCACAGGCTCCTACTAAGTTTTTATTACCTAAACCAAAAGGTAAGTTTTACAACAGCGGGCAAAATAAAATCTATCC